AAAGGAAAAACTTTTTCACACCACTATATATATATATATATATATATATATATATATTCACACACACACACATGTTTTCTATTTCATAGAAATGAAACATGCTCAGATTAATTGTTCACAAAAAGATCTGTAACTTGCATTTAAGAAATAGATATTTGCATTTCCTGCCAACTTTTAATTGACTTCACTGTTGGAGTAATTTTATGTCTGAAAATAATATATAAAGAATATCTCATAGTTCTCACAAAAAATGTGGTATTCATGCATCTTGATACAAGTAATGAGACACCAAATAGTACCTTATTTGTGGAAAGTGCAGTAGTATGGAACAGATTGCTGAGTGCTGAACAGAGCTTTGTCATGCAGTGTACTCATGGGAGAATATCAGTGCCAGCAGATAATATTAGAGTTGTGCGGTCAGATAATATCAGCTTGGGAGAATAAAGTCTCGGCACACTGCCGTAAAACCACAAACGCTCTGAAGCATAATAAAAATGAACGTGGTTATAGAGTCGACGGGTTCTCTCTGCCTGAATCCTGCTGTTTTGGACAGATTCTGTAGCTGATGTATTGATCTGCAGGGCCAATCAACGGCTGTGAGGTTCAGTGTCCTCTGTGAACTGAAGTTTGACAGACAGCCAGGGATTTGTGTGGAGGATGCAATGGAGTCCCGATTGCTTTTTAAGAACTGCATTCATGATGTGTGTGTGTTTTTCTCTAGCCTGATGAGAGCTCACTGGACTTCTCCTCCTGTATATTGAGGCACGGCATTAAGAATGCCAAAGAGCTGGCGTGTGGAGTGTGTCTGCTCAACGTGGACTCGCGCAGCAAGGTCTGTACACCCCAAACACACACACACCTGCATACAACCATTAACACACAAAACGCATACAGTATATTGCCTATTAAAGAGATAGTTCACCCCAAAATTTTAATTTTATTACAAAATCATTAATCTGTCATTATTTATTCAACCAAATTGTTTTGACAAATATTTTTCTGTGGAACACGAAAGCAGGAATTTTGAAGTATGTTCTGGTTGCTCTTTTCCATGCCATTACAGTGAATGGGGACCAGAGATTTCATGCTTCAAGAAAAGGATTTAAAAGCACTAAAACAGCATCATAAACATAATAAAAAAAGCCAAAATTAACTAAATTTAAGTCTTTATTCACTGAAAATGCTAACATCTGCCCCATCTCTCCATTGGTCATTTATGAGAGTAGCAGCGATGTCCGATTTGTAAAATAATTGCTCTGTTGACTCGCATCTTTTCAAATAAATCGTTTGATCCGGTTCAGTGTTTACACTGTTACAGTTTTATTAATACATTTTTATTCTAGTTTTAGTTTTTAATTATTTTTATTTAATATTAGTCATTTTAGTGCCTCAACGTTCAGTTTGTTGCCAATTAGTAAATATAAATATAAATTTAAATATAAAGTTTTTCATCTAATATTTGTATTTAATTTTATTTCAGTTCAGTTCATTTTATTAGAACTGAACTGAATTTTTTTTTATTTAGTTTGTTTTAGTTTAGTTTTAGTTAAAAATAATACCATGATCCACTTCACAAAATCAGTCTGACATAAATCTCGACTTCATCTGTCTGAATCAGTGATCGGTTGCACTGGCTTAACAACTTACTGTAGAGGAATATTAATAGTAAAAATTTAAGTTGACCTGTTCTCAAACAAAGCTATGGTTAAAAAACATGCAATATAGAGCATGAGTCATATTGGGATATTTCTATGATGCATTTGCTTTTATGTTGCTTTTAAAGCTTCAGTCCTCATTCATTATAATTTCATAGAAATTGTTTGGGTGAGCTATTGCTTTAAATTATTGAACAGATAATTCGTTTAATTTTCCCTATCAAAAAGAAACCAAAAAACATCCCTCCTGACTATTACTTTTATTTTCACAATTTTACAGAAGAAAGACGAGAATACATTTGGACTCCTTTTCAAAAGAGTAGGATTCACTAAACTGCCTCAACTCCAATTTGCAGCTTGTTGCAGGGGTCAGGCAGGCAAACGCTCCCGTGTTGTGCTGCCAAAATGACCAGAACTCACCTCTCGGCACTTGTCTCCTTACACACTGCCAAAAACAGCTCTCAGAGGCACACGCTCTGACTCATGCATCTAAATCTACAGACGCTCGGTCGAGGCCACGCTTTCATTCAAGTAGCTTTAGGTGTTTTATTTGGCTGCGAGCTCTTAGCTCCCATTTTCTCAGCATTTACAGCAATCTTTCATGTCGAGCTTGTCTTGCCGAAGCGGCGAGTAAGTCTGACTGATGGCCAAAAAGCATGAGGCAGGCAGCAAATAGGTGACGTAAACCAAAAAGTGGTATGGGGCAAGGAAATATCATAATAAAGGGAATAGTTTACACAAAACTAAAAAATTGTGTCATTTATTTGCTCTCATTTTGCTCTAAACCATTGTTTTTTTTGTTTTTGTTTTTCTTCCTTGGGACACAAATAGAGATATTTAACAGAACGTCCGTGCTGATCTATTCCAGACATTACATTTCTTAGTATTTTTAGTATTATTTTAAATACATTGAGATGCTATTATAATATTGTTTTTGTAATATTAGTTTTTATTTTTGTATTTTCCATTTTAATTTTAGTTAAAAGTTATAGTAATTTTGTTGTGATTTTTTTAATAGGTCAATTTAATTGTTATTATTTTAATTTCAGTTGTAGTTATTTTAGTACATTGAGTTAAACTAAATGAAAATAAGAAATGTTGCTTTGTCAACTAGCTGAAATGTTTGCTTTATTTCAAGTAATGTTTTTATTTTATTTTGTTTTTTATGATTTTTGTTTTAGTTAATTGTAATAATCCTGCCTGGTACCCAAGTAGTTTAGACCACAATAACTTTGAGTAAATGATGACAGAATAAATTTTTTTGGGTGAACTATCCCATTAAACTCTTCTATTCATAAGTACAATCCAATCCTGCACTGGTTTAAACATGTAATTTTCACATTGCCATTCGCCTCGTTAACACACAATGGATAATCTGCTCATTAAGATTCCTCGTCTCACTGAAACCCTCCTAAATCTCCCTTGTATTAATGCAACGGCCAAGATTTGCTGATGTAATAGGGGTGTAAACATTGCTCGTAGTACTTTAGATGCAGTCAGGGAAGGAGGGGCTCAGAGCAGCAAGGAATCATGGGATGGATGTCTGAGGAGCAGATGCAGCTCAGCCATCAGTCACCGTGACCAAAAACACAGATGCTAATAGATCCGCCGAACACATCCAGCTCGCTGCAGATTAATAGAGCTGTTTCTGTCTGCTCCTGACATCCGATTAATATCCCACTTTTTAATTATGTTTTTGGGGGTTTGGGGGGGGGTGGATTGAAATCAGGGTTCTGAAGGTGGAGCAGCATCTCCGAGTGGAGGTGTTTTTAAAGGTGGTGGTGTTGGGCTGGAGGTGGAGATTTCACATGGTTGTGGATGATTCACTCTACTGACCTTGGGCTAGCATTCAGTTTCTGTCCCCGCTGGGGAGGGACGTGATCCTGCTGAATCTGCTAACAGGATTTGTCCACTGGAATGGGCAGCAGTGTATTAACTTAACACTTTGCATAGATTCTCTTTTTATCTAAAACAAAATTGTATATACACTACCATTCAAAAGATTGGGGTTGCCAAGTTTTTTTTAGTTTTTTTATGAAAGTCATCTCTTGTGATCACCAATATTGAGAAATATTATTACAATTTAAAGTAATGTTTTTCTATTCTAATATATTTTAAAATTTAATTTATTCCTGTGATGCAAAGCTGAATTTTCAGCATCAATACTCCAGTCTTCAGTGTCACATGATCCTTCAGAAATCATTCTAATCTGCTGATTTGCTGCTCAAGAAACATTTCTTATTATCAATGTTGAAAACAGTTGTGTGTAATGTTTTTGCAAAAGACCATAATACATGTTATATTCAGGATCATTGATGAAAAGAAATGTAAAAGAACAGCATTTATTTGAAATAAAAAAACTTTTGTAACTATATATAGTACACATCTTTACTGTCACTGATCATTGCTGATTATTAATTATTATTGCCTTTAAAAAACATTGACCCCAAATGGTAGTGTAAATATTTAATACAATTAAAATTGTATCATATTAATAATATAATACATAAAAAAATAATAATAATAAAAATTTAATACAATTTCAACTTATCATAAAAATAAGCTTGGCCAGTTTGAAACTTATTTTATAAGACTCGTATAATAAAATATTAAACTACTATATTAAACACTATAAGATGATTTTAAAATATTTATTTGAAAGCGCCAGTGTTTACATGCTTCAGGAAGTCAACATGCAAATAATGTTGTTTTTGGCGGCCTGTTTTAATTTTAGTTTTAGTCTAGTCTTTGTGTGAAGCTGTCATTTTAGTTTTACATCGATGTTTCCTGTCAGCTCGATTTTTGAGTGGACTTCCGAGTGGACTGCTGTTCCGATGAGCATGAACAGTATATGAGTGGAGCTGAGCGGAGCGCACACACGCATAGAGCGGGATAATACGCAGAGCGTCACACCACGTGAAAGTGAAAC